TGATAGCCTTCAATCATATTGGAGCCTCAAATATATCCTCTCTACCCACTTCTTTCAGCTGATATAACTCTATCACTTGTACTAAATGCAACGTTGATGCTACAGTTGACAATAAAAGCATTATTAGATCACTTGGCATCAAAGATAATATCGGAAACATTTTTCATTTGTTCGCATCCATTCGAGAAGGTCAAAGTTATTTATCTTTTCTCTATTTAAAAACGCTAAGAACGTGGTAGGAAAAATATTTAGCTAACTTTACCGAGATTTCATTTTTGCCTGCTACAATTACTAAAATAAAAATGGGTAGATGATGAACTTTTTGTAATCGTCATACTTAATTAATTACATACATCGTCATCAAAGAATGATAAAATGGTAAAAAGCGATCGTGGTGTATCACTATTACTACCATTTTTGTAGCATATTGTGAATACAAATTGCACAAGGTACTTTCTGTATTGAAGTATGTAATGGGGATATTAAATGTGAAATGCAAAAATAAACAAAAATATTAATAATTTTTACGACCCTGTAAATTAATAGAAGGTTTTATTGCAGCTAGAGGGACATGAGCAAGTCCTCCAAATGTTTCTCAAAACTTCATCTCCATGGTAGCAATAATGTCATAGAAAATGAACAATCTCTATAATTAAAATGATAATTATTTTCATTAAATTCTATTGATCCTTTTTATATTTTTTAGAATTTGTGTTTAACTAAAGCTCTAATAATAATAAAATATCATTTTCACATTTTACGAAAAATTAGCATATTTATTTTTGATCTCAGTAATTAACAGGTTTTAAACTATACATAATAAAATAAATTAAAATAAAAGTCAATTGGAGGAGTCACATGGGGACGTAAAAAAGGGGATCCTATCAACTTATTCCCAAAATTAGACAATAATATTACAATTTCTATATCTCTAATTGGGTTACCTCCAATAAAATTACCATTTCTAAATCTCAGATCCTTTCATTTATTTTCACACAAAATTCTCTCTAATCGTTTCAAATTTCTAAAATATTATTGACTAATTCCTTCTGCTCTTTACATTTTATTGATTTTTATTTTAATTTATTTTATTATGCACGGTTTAAAATTTTTTAATTAAAAAAAAAAACCTGCTAATTTTCCATAAAATGAATTGTATAATTTTATGTATAGAGTCTATGTCACATTGAAGGTAACGATGAAAATAGGGGCTTATGGTTCATAAAATCCTTTCTTATAATATTTGATCTATAGAATTGATTATTGAATTGTGAGAATGTTGATGTTATATATAATGGAGTTGAATGTAGTAATTTTTAAAATTTTTGATATTGTATTAGAAATGTATTTAGAGTGAGATGAATATATAAAATTTGCATAGATCTACAATTTTTAAATGAATGAATTTAATAACGACAAAATTGGAACGTGATGTATATGAAAATAATATTTTTTTAAAATTTTAATATTTTAATAAGGATAGATATGGAGTGGGATGGATATATAACAATCGTGGATGCAAATAGTGGCTCCTTTAATAAAATAAGTTTAAACAACAGGAGCAGTGAGATATGATTGTAGCATGAGATAAATAGAGTTTCATGTGTTACCTATATCCATTATAAACATCATATTGGTTAATTTCGAATTTGTACACATGCTTGCAAATACTTGTTTGCGAAATGGAGAAACTAAAATAAAGGAAATAGCATGCCTAATTTTTGTGAGCTATGGAACAATAATCTTAAGGTCGACTTGCACAATCAAATTAAAAATATGATATATACAATACATGCGAAAAAGTTTTGCCGTCAACTAATGTGGTATGCATGGATGAAAAAATAGTCATCCAAGCTGTTTAGCTAGGTAATCCTATCGACTCGTTCGCGAGCCATATCATGAGCCACTTGCGAGCTAGCTCACTTGACTCATTAGCCAAATTGTGTAAGCTGACAAGCATGTTGCATCAGTGTTTTGTTGCTTGACCTCGGGCACGAGCCACTTGCACTACTTTCACCTTTTACCCATTCTTATTTTCAATAACTACTACAATATCTATAAATCAGCACGTGTTCAATTCACTTTGAACATTATGAATCTAAATTTTATTTCTTAACTTGGACTAGTACCAATAAATCTGAAGTAAGACATATTCTCAATATGATCTGAAACACCTATGTGGTTGTTGAGTACTAATTATTAATGAGTAATTTCCATCCATCTAAAATTCAATAAGATTGATAAATTTTGTAACTATACCATTGACTCAATTGAAACACATAGTTACTATCCCAACTAACATTCAAAATCCTTTCTTCCACGAGCGCAAATTTCCTCAAAGCCAAAGAGGCAAAGTATTTAGGGCCACATGGCTTTCGAAAAGTCAGAGAGTTTTTGAGATCCTAAAATTACTTTTGATTTTATTTGACTAATTTTATGAATGTTTTTCTTTTAGCCACTGTTTGATCTCCATTTTTGAGGAAAAATGTATAGAATAGTGATTTTTGAAGAATGTGTAGTTAAAAAGTAATAAATTTTTTTCGAAATACGTGGACTATTATGTTATGAAAAAATGTGTGGTTGAAAATGAGAATTGAAAAAATGATTTCTTAAAAAAATGGGGATCAAACATGAGCTAAGAAAAGTTTTTAGAGATAGATAATCCAACGTGACTTCAATTAAAAGTACTCTTGGAATAAGAAACTTTTTTAAAAATTATTTTTTAAATAAAAATTAGTATAACTTCCTCCAAAAGCATTTTTTATAAGAGTAATTATATTATTAAAACAAAGTTTACTTACTGCACCATAATTAAAATATATTTTTAATAAACATACAACAATAATTTACCATTATACTCTTATTCTGATAAAAACTCAAAATAAATCATTGTGGTGTGTCTCATCTTCAAAACACAGAGAAATTCGCAATTATAACACACACTTTCCTAATTCATCAGTGCTGCTTTCTGCAGCAGATTTCAATCCTTTCACATAATTTGATAACCCAAAAATGGCTTCCGTTTCGCGCGGATTCGTCGCTAACAATTAAAAAGGGATCAGACGATTGTGTAAGGGACAAACCTCTTGAAACAAAATCTCAAAAAGGGATGTTTTTTATTGACGATGACTTTACAATCGGAAAGTAAAAACAGAATGCTTCCAAGAGGCGCAAGCACACGAGTTACTGAAATAAGTGTTTAAATCTAAACTAAGAAATTTAAAGTTACATGTTCTCTGTTCGAGAGTTTTTGATTCGGGGTCTTTTGCTCTATGTCTTTTCTCCTTTTATACTCCTTGGATGATCTCTTTGTGATCAACCGCTTAAAAACTGCTTGATCGTTCTATAACTGCCCACTTTCCTCGTAATGACCAACTTGTCATGGAACTGTCTTTTCTAACTGCTGCCATTACTCTTTATCGTTCAATCGTCTTCAATTGAATTCCTTGAATTGTGGAACGTGATAGGGCTGCTTAATAACTGCGCTTTTTGATAACCATAACACTTTATGTTTGCTAAGACCTTGGGCGACTCGAAGGCTTGGTCGAGAATAGAGTAGCAGCTCTGGGCGACTGCATGACACTCCATTCGCTCAGATCCTGGGCGACTTGCAAGCTTGGGCGATGGTGTTACAGCGTTCATGGGCCTTCATCCTGAATTGTCTGATTGGGCTTCGTTCTTTGGGCTATCTGATTTGGGGATCCTCCAATTGGGCTTCATTCTTTGAGCCGTTCGATTTGGGCTGAATTTTTATGTGTCAACAGCTTTCAATTTCTAATTTAATTCACAATTTTTGCAGCAGATTTCAATTCACAATTTCTCTAATTTATTTCATCTGTCAGCTACTTTGTACAAGAGAGGATTTTCGACGACTTCACAGGGTACTGCGTCCAGCAATGTGAGAGGAGGAGGAGGGTGGTGGTTCCTAATCTGATGCTAAAGAAGGGAATTGATGAATCAACAAAGACATCATGGTACTCGACCTGGTGACCGGATGTTACCAGCCGAAGAATGAAGTCAAGGAAATCGATGCTGCCGAGTTGCGGGCGCAGCTCTTGAAGAACACAACCATTAGCCACTAAATCAAAGAATTATAACAACCTGATTTTGACTCCGTTTTTTTTTTAACATTTAAATGGAATCCTTTGTTTTTCCTCAAAAATCATTCTACTATTTTAGTGAATAGGATATATGAATTGGTGTACCTCCTCTGCAATTCATATGGTATGATAATTTCAAGATTGGTTTTTCAGACTTGTGTTCATTTGTTGATGATAATTGCAAAATTAAAACCAAGCCTATATTGTAGATTTAATTTAAAACCCATTGATGTTTGAAGAGAAATATGATCTTTCTTTAACGATTGATGTTTAAAGAGAAATATGCAGATTTCTGCAAGAATGTCTCTTTTTCAAAAGATTTTTCATTGAGAGTGAATTACTCAAATGGTCATTGAACTTTAGAAAAAATTTTCACGGGTTATTGAACTTTAAAAATCACCAAATTCATCACTAAACATTGCAAAAGATTTTTATGGAGTCATTGAATTTTAAAAATCACATCATTCATCATTGAACTTTGCAAAAAGTTTCCACGGAATTACTAATTAGTGATTTCGTGGAAATCTTTTGCAAAATTCAGTTATAAATTGGATGATTTTTAAACTCAGTGGTTTCGTGGAAACCTTTTGTAAAGTTCAATGATAAATTGGATGATTTTTAAAGTTCAGCGACTACGTGAAAATCTTTTACAAAGTTCAGTGATCATTTGGGTAATTCACTCTTTCATTGATAATTGTAGTGTAATAATAAATTTTTTTACATGATAAATATATTAAACCATGTTTACTTAAAGTTATTTAAGTAAATAAAAAATAATTTAAAATTATGATGTAGCTTGTACATTTTATGAAAAATAAATAAAAATCATGTCAAACTGTCGTAGTCAGACTCAAAAGTATCGGTACATCGAAGTCTCTCGTCTTTCAGTCAATTCATATATCTTTCCCCCAGTAACAGTCTAGAGAGAGAAACAGCCAAATCCACGCACACACTTCTCAGTTTCGTGCACCGAAAAAGAAAGAGAGAGTGACAAAGAAAATTGACGAATGAATGACAAAGCTAAGTGGAGAATACAAGTCAATAAAGCAGTTGGTGAATTAATGGTGGAAAGGGTAATTTCGTCACTTTGCTCTCCGTTGGTGGCGCCGCCGCTCCAGATGTGGTTGTCGGATTAACTCTCACCGGTGTTGCCTTGGCCGCCGGCGATGCCTTGGCCACAGGTTTATTCGGTACTTGATGAAGAAACCCCTAGGATATACAGTGAAGTGAATTATTTACTTAAGTAATAGTTGAAAAATAACAAGTTTTGTAGATGAAAGCTCTAAAACGAGGACAAACTTCGTCGAAATCTTCCTTGCCTTCATCATCATCTTCAAATACGTCTTCGTCTTCACCATCTTCGTCCTGGATTTATTTGAGATCGGTTCTATATGTTGTAGCTTCATCATCCCCAGCTTCGTGTTCTTCTTCTTCAACCGATCGGTGGGTTTCTTTATCTTTTAGCATATTGTTTGACTTTTTTAGTTCATATCCTGTTCTTGTACATCTCGGTAATTACTCCGTATTCCCAATCCATTACCTTAGTGCAGCTAAGATGCATCTTCATAAATATGGAGTTCCGAATCTGGATTAAAAAAAAAAAAAAAAAGGGTGGAGGAAGAAGTAGAATCTCATTTTCGTATTTAATTTTTGGTTTTTTTCGGTTTCTAGCTTCAATCAGTGCTTCTTCATTTTTAAGTTTTGTTTTTTGTGGAGTTAAATCAATTTGACTAAGAAGCTAAATAATAAACTAGTCCTAAATTATATTGCCAGTCAAATATTAATTGAGGACTTTGTTGGATTCATTTTGTCTTTATATGTGATTTGATGAAGTTATTGTAGAATTTTTGAATTTTTTATTCCACTAATATTTCAAATGTTCATATCAAGAACATGCAATTGGTCTAATAACATGAGAGGACAATGTCAATTAGTTTGTTTTTTTCCTGTTGGTCCAGGATATGAACGCGCTGTTCAATTTGGAAAATAAAGAGTAATATATGTGCTAGACGATTTAATTTTGAGGATTAAAATTTTAAAATGGAAGATTTCTACTTGGATATAATAAATAGAGTTAAGATTCTTTAAGGAATTATGTAATTGGAATAACATTGTAAAATACTTGAAAAATGACTGGAAATTATAAGTTGACTTCCTCTTCCAAAGACTTGAGCTTTAGCCATTTTTCTCGCACTTGCCTTGAACAAGGTGTTTGGTTGAAAGTTTTATTTTATGTGAGGACGAACAATTAGAATGCATGGATGACTTGAATACAGAGAAAAATCATGCGGAAATTTTTTACTACCGACATTGCTTCTCTCTGAATCATTGATAATTCATGACTTTATATATCTTAACATTTTTATTCCAGTGTTTGCGTTGCTTTATATATTAAGCTAGTGATAGAAAAGTTTTGTATGGATACTAGGACATCATTGATTTTGGCACATCCTGCTCCAACCTGCTTCTTGTTTTGCGCTAGGTTATTGTTTGAGGTCTTTATGACATTTTAATTGTCTGTTTGTAGGTTGTAGAACGAAAGCCACACACATCAGCTTATAATGTGAAATATTTATCTTCTAAATGTTATGATTGGAAACATCATTCTTTTGTTGCTATTGCTTTCTCATTCATCAAATGAAAAATTAGTACTATTTCCATTTCCAGGGGTCATCTTAAATCGCCATGGTCGCGCAGAAAAAGAAAACACATACTATCGCCTCGTCAATGGAGAAATTTGTTCACATCAGATGGAAAACTTCGTGATGGTGGAGTGAAATTTCTGAAGAAAGTTCGCAGTGGAGTGAGTTGCCCTTTCATTTAGCTCAAGTTTTCTCCATTTCAATGGAAAAAAATGAAAACTATTATTGCGCTTTATTTGCTTTTAAATGAGAAATATACTTGGCAGTCTGTTTGAATATGATTTTCATGACTGCTATTTGCAGGGGGTTGATCCAAGCATCAAGGCGGAGGTTTGGCCATTTCTTCTTGGAGTGTAAGTTGATTCTCTTTTTGGAAGTGACAACGGCAGGTCATTGCTGAGATTAATGATGTAACCTGATCTTTTTAGAAATGTACTTAACTAGCTAATTTTCCTTTTTGGGTTTGGACATAAAGGGTTAATTTGGTTCAATAATGAGCATCATTTCAAAATCAGTATTAATGTATTTTTTAAATCTCTTAACTTTGACTTTCTCTCATGACGTCTTATTGTAGAGTTTGTGTGTTTAAGGTAATCTATTGGTCCTTAACATCTTTTACGCATTAAAAATTGAAGAGAATAGGAAAGAATGGAAGAAACAAGGGGAAAGAACATCTCTACTTCTTGTTCCAGCAGTTTTTTAAATCACTGTTACCTTGTGTTTTTGTTTCTGTTGTGTATCTAAAGAAAATTTAGTTGACAAAATCTCTTTCTTCATCGATTCTGACTATTTATCTTTCTGCAGCTATGACCTATCCTGTTCCAAAGAAGAAAGAGATGTTATAAAAACTCAGAAAAGGTGATCACCTCTTGGTTTTTCCCTCCATATTAATTTTTGAATCTTTATTTTCCATCTGTGGCAGATTAGTTGATATCATGTTTTAAGTGTATTTTTATATTCATTTCCTTTTGTCCTTCAATTGATGGATGCAGAAAGGAATATGAGAAACTACGGAGAAAGTGTCTCCATCTTCTTAAACATAATAATGATCTCTTTAAGTTAAATGAAACTAGTGAAGCAAGCAATGGTGACAGTGGAAATCTTATTGAAGGTATTGATTCCCCCAGCTCTGAATACGTTGTGAGCGCCAGAGAATCCTTTTCTAGTGAGGAAAGGTTTTCCTATGATGAGGACTCTGGTCACCACACTAACACACTTACGGATGGATGTGCTGATTCTAAACAAGTCACGTATCCAAATGACATCACATTCTCTGAGTCTTCGTACTCAGACTCATCAGAAGACCCCGACTCAAGTCAAACTTTCAACTTCACAGAAAACGGGGAAGAGAATGATCGAGATATCCCCTTGATGGAGGATTCTTCTCCCTCAAAGATGGAGGTCCAGTCAGAATCCTGTAGTGCAGAAGATATTGCCACCTGGCAGCGAATAATCCGCCTTGATGCTGTCCGTGCTAGTGGTGAATGGATAGCATACTCTCCAGTTCAGGCTGCAGTGTCAGAAGGCAGAGCACGCTGTTCTGCTGAGGTTGTTGGATTGAAGGATTATGATCACCTTGAGCCCTGTAGGATGTTCCATGCTGCCCGTTTAGTTGCCATTCTTGAAGCCTATGCACTTTATGACCCCGAAATTGGCTATTGTCAGGGAATGAGCGATCTGCTCTCCCCCATAATCACTGTTATGACAGAGGACCATGAAGCTTTCTGGTGTTTTGTAGGTTTCATGAAGAAGGCTCGTCATAATTTCAGGCTTGATGAAGAAGGAATCAGAAGACAACTGAACATTGTTTCTAGAATTATCAAGTTTAAGGATTCACATCTTTTTAGACACTTGGAAAAACTCCAGGCCGAGGATTGCTTTTTTGTGTACAGAATGGTGGTGGTGCTCTTTAGACGGGAACTGACTTTTGAACAAACTCTCTGTCTTTGGGAGATCATGTGGGCCGACCAGGCTGCAATTCGAGCTGGAATTGGGAAGGCCGCATGGAGCAGGATTAGGCAGCGAGCCCCACCAACAGATGATCTCTTGCTTTATGCAATTGCAGCCTCTGTACTGCAGAGGAGGAAACAAATCCTCGAGAAGTATAATAGCATGGATGATATTTTGAGGGAGTGCAATGCAATGGCCGGGCATCTTGATGTATGGAAGCTTCTGGACGATGCGCACAACTTGGTGGTAACCCTCCATGACAAGATCGAGACGCCTTTGTGATGTGTGGATGTTCACTTCGCTAATTTATTCACTTTGATTTCCCAGCTTTAACTTGTCAAAAGTGTCCAGTAAGTCTCTTGGACACGAATTTAGACGATGAGAAAAAAAATCAGGTTGCTGGCTACTTTACTCGGTGGGGGATTCTAACTTATATAAAACATCTTTGTACTTGAGATGTGATTTTTTGAGTTGAATGCAGTGGATGGTGAACTAAAATTGTTGATACTGATATATGAATTGACTAGTACTCTATCTGTACGTTAGGAGGATTATATTTTTTATTTTTACTTTTTTTCCTTAAAGAAATGTGTGCTCAGTGTTTGAATTTGTAAATCCTTACAATAGTTTTGATTGCAATTGGATTGATAAGTGATGGATTTGAATAGTTGATTGAATTAAAGTTTGATGAATTTCAAATTCAATGATTTGTTATTAAATTACCTTCAAATATGGTTCTGATGCCGATTATGAAATCCTTGAGAAAAGAGGAAGAATCGAAATATAATCAGTACGCCAAAATTAGGTGTAAAGAACTGACGAGACTAACATAATTTATAAATCAGGAAAAACCTGATCTTTATATATAGCTGCAGAAGTTGTTCTTAGGAAAGATTGCGATTCTTTCATATAATCAATTAATTCCCAAAACCCTGGGGAAATGAAAAAGTAGGGCAAGGGAAACGGGTGGGAGCTGGTAAGTGAAGTACACAATGAGCCTTGTCTAAGAACACCCTCAAAACTTAAATTATTAGAGAATAAATAGGTTTTAAAAATTTTGCTGTTGGTTTTATTTTATTTTTTTCCTTTCATGTACTAAAGAAGACAATGAAATTTTGAAATCGAAATGGAGCTAGAAATAATGGTCATAATAAGAAATCAAAGTCTCCATATATCTATACAACTTTAGAGATAGAAGTTATGACAAGCAACGAATAAGGTTCGAACACACACGTTTAAATTATTTTATCATTTTATGTTTCAAAATTACAAGACGTGACAATAAATTGACAAATAACTTAAAACTTAGTCAAATCTTAAAGTTTACTTCAATGTGACAATAAAACGGATTTAACCTTGTTTATACCTCGTTCTATCAAAATTCAATTTTTTTTTCTCAAAACTCATTTTTAACCACATTCTCTCAAAAAAATAATTGTATAAGTAAATCTAAAAAAATTTCCTAATTAAAATTTATTTTTCCCTAAAATGGGGCCCTGAATATGTTCGTTTTTAGTTTACGGTTTTTAAGAAAATGAAGAACAAATCTACGAAGGCACGAAGGAAACAAGAAAGCATAGATACCATTACAAAAATAGTACAACACATATAAGGCAACATTTTTGATTTCACAACACATTAGATGGACAACAACAATGGCTCTTTTAAATTCAGGAGACAGAGTTCCATACCAGACTGCAAAGGAATATTATTTTCATTCAACAGCATAAATTAAAGAAAATAACGACAATTAAGTCATCGACTTCCTTTCCAATTATTTCTCCTTGGTGTAGCTCCGGATGGCAAATGCCAACCCTAAGATCAGGAGAGGGACAATGAACTGCAAAATCTTGATCATGAAATCTGAACCCTTGTTTGCATTGGATGCGACTTGTGGTGGAGGAATGAAAGTGCGTTTGCTGGGAACTGTCGACATGTCTATCGTCCCAATCAAATATTTGTCCATCATCTCTTTAGCGGAATCACTGTGACCGATATCTTCGAAGTCGGCAGTTGCATCTTTTCCTGCATCACGAGGAATTCATTAGGCGATGTTACATATAAATCTTTATGGAGTTAAATAGACAGGCAATCACTAAACTTTTAAAAGAAATTTCTGAACTTCTTTTGTTTCAAGTTAGTACTAAACTTAAAACTTTGTTACAATTTAATAACTCCATCAATGTTCTCAGTCGGTTAGCAATCTATTATTTGGCAACTAAGCAGCCAATTGACCGTCACATCAGATTTTCCGTTAGTCAAACTAGATATAGACAGAATGACCAAATCGAACGAAACGTGTACTTTCACTAACCTACTTGAAAGAAAGTTTACATTCAGTATTCAACAAAAAATTTTTGCATCCCAACCCAACTCTTTACACGCCCATTATCCTCGACAAAAGTGAAACAGAAAAGGAAGAATGAGATTATCATAGCATTACCACTTGATGATAGCAAAACTTCATCACCTCCGGGATGATCGTCCATGAATGGGGATACATCATATACCTGATGAAACAATTTTGCAGCATTAGATCACAAAGGATATATTTGAGAAGAAGAATTCAAACAGTCTAGCTCCCAATGAAACCTGATGATAAAGACATAAAAGAATGCAGTCTCTTTATGGTGTCTGTTTTGATATATAGTCCAGTTCCCAAATTTTGCATAGTTTTTCACACCCAAATCCAACTCATCACCAATGTTCTTGGATTTGCCAAAACAAAATCAGGAGAAAAATCAACTGTAAGAGCATGTTTAACTAAGCTTATAAAGTTGTCTTCCAGGTAAATAAGTATTTGAAAATAAGTAATCTTTTTAGTGATCAAAATTGAAAATATGCAAATTACTCATTTTGATAGTAAGTCAAGAGTCAAGAAAAAATAACTAATCCAGACATAATTGGAAGGAAAAAATTCCTAAAAGTAAAATTATTTTTAAGCTTATCCAATCTAAAAAAAAATGTTAATCACCCCAAAAAGAAAAAGACCAAGTATGAACCAAAGTTGACTGGTCTTGTTGTGTTGATATGCATAATACTTTTTGGGCCATATATATATGGCTGCCTAGGCATGAGACGAGGGCAAAGCACTTTGTCTAAAAGTTGACCGCTTAATGCGTGGTTAGACATGATTTATCAATTTTTTTTTTCTTTTTTTAAAAACATTTTCTTTGACTTGAGTTTAATAAATTTTTTTTTTCTTTTTCCCCTTTTTTAGAAGGTTTTTACTTAACTTCAATTTCAAGTTTCTAAATGACTTTATTTGTACGAAATTCAAAAATAACTTTATCCAACAAAGATTTTGATAAGATATATATAGCTGTAATTCTAAGACTTATCGTCTATGATGCACGGACATGTGTGTCTAACACGATACGTGTTGAAATGCGATTTTTCCAAAAAATACTAGCATGACAAATCGTTGATACATTGGTTAAATTCTATAAAATCCTTTATTTATATAGTATAAATTTAATTTTATACATTTTATTAATACTTTTCTTCAAATCTTTTAAATATGTATATCTATTTGTTATTTACTAATAATTTTGAGTTCAAAATATATAATATTTAAAAAAAAAAAAAGAAGGATGATCATGGTAGATTGTCCGAGGAGTGTCCATATCCGACACGTGTTGAATATGGACATGTTATCCTAATTGAAGTGTCCATGCTACATAACTTATCCTTCTGTTGAAAACTTCGAAAATATGAATGAAATTCCCATAAATCTGTTAGATAGAACTTGTCTAGTTGAAAGTTGAAACCATGAAAAATAGTTTAGCTTTTGCATTATCAAAACTTATAAATAATATAATTGATTAATTGTATGAATTATTAAGTAAATATAGTATTTTATAGTTTTAGACGTTTGTAATGTATTATTTTAATTATTAAGCCCTTGTTTGAGCCCCATTTGGGAGGAAAAATGTACGTTGAATAGTAGATTGATGGTGGATGTGTGGTTAAAAATTAAGGAATAATTTGGGTTTGCATGTAATATTATTTTATAGAAAAATGTGTGGTTGAAAATGAATTTTGAAAAAATAATTTTTTAGAAAAATGGGGGCTCAAACAAGAGTTAAACGGTTTCTAAAATAATTAAGTATTTAAAATAATAATAAAAATAAGTAACACTTATTTTACATCTAAGCCTCGCCTAAGCTCGTCCAAGTTCATTAAGTTTGGCCATCACATCTTACCACACTTTACGCTTTTTAGAACACTGATAAATAGGAAGCTTGACCCGAAAGCTTCTTTCACCGTGTAAACTCTCGTTTTTTGGTCATGCAACTTTGGTTAAAATAAATCTGAAAGCAAAGATGATGACATGTGGTTGACTGGTAGCCATTGATGTTAATGGGTTATTTAATTTAAATACCTTTTTTAATTGTTTCTTTGCCAGATCATTCTAGGGTTTTCTTGAGTTGTGCATTTCTCTCTCTCTCTCTCTCTCTGTGTAATAGTTCATCTTCTTTCGTCTGTAATCCTTGTTTTCCGGTGATTTCTTGGTGAGGTAGTAAAATGGAGTATTGTGAGGGTTTCTAATCAATTCTTGTTGAGCAGTAACCTCTGGTTGGTTGGTGTAATTGTGAGAGAAGAAAGATCGAGAGAGAAATTGAGGGCTTTTCTAGTTAATAATTTGAGTATTGGCCTTTGTGCTTGTAATCTTTTTATTGTGCTAGTGGATTTAGAGCGTTAACCACATTTCTATGAAAGCTCAACGTGATGAGTATGCCTTTTGGTTGAAACATCCAGGCCTTAGGGCAAAAAATCTTGGTGTTCTTACTTTTTGTTGAAGTTTGATTTTATATTTGTGACAGAAGTACCAACACTTCTATATGCAGTCAAATACCGCTGGTTAGGCAACCATCCCTATCTACACATTTAAATACCTATTGCCAACTACCAACTGCACAGCCCATATATTTCATGTTAAATCAGTTAGTTCAAACATCCTGCAAATAAAAACAACAATCACTCAATTCATGCAGATGGCAGATAAACAGCCATCAATTTTCTTGGGAAGTTTTCACCTAAGCTTTGCAGAACTATTTCTCTTCCAGTAATGCAATCCGGCATTTCTATTTCTTGTAACTCAGTAACAAGGAACTCTTTGAAGTCACGTTAAACCAAATGCTTAACATTCGAGAAACACAAGTATTTTTTTCTTCCAACTATTTAAATGTATAAATATTGAGAGCGCATCCCTCGTGCTTATGTTCTTATTTGCTGGTTTGTTCATTGTCTCATAAAGCAGAAAAGATTTAATCTTTCCAAGAGAGAAAAATCAGTAAAATAAAAAGGAGAGACAGTCTGCAATGAGATGCATATGTAATTTTACTACAAAAGATTGACTTTCGACTATTCCATCAATCTTCTTTCTTATTTAAAAAATGTTTTTATATCTGGCATGAAAAGATTAAGAAATATTTCAATAAAAAAAAGTCGTTTTAATTTCAAATTTCGTAGCATAACTAAGCATTGAGTTCAATTACAGTGATCTGTAGAAAAGTCATGACCTAGGCATCAATTTTGATGACTCAGAGATTGAGAAACAAAGTGTCCTCTTCTGACCTTCAAATATCAGAATTTATAATGAGCAAATGCCATAGATTACAAAATATAAAATAATTTAAAAGTATCACAGTAGAACCCCAATAATCCAGATCACCGTATAGAAAACTCAATCACTAAAGAATCCCCAAATATAAACATGACATGACATGCCTATCGTAATTCAAGACTCATAATCAGTATTTACAGGACTAACTATTGAGACTTGATTTTCATCTTAAAAATTCAATCACATTAAGAGAGGAGCTCGATCTCATATGTGATCATCGCTCGTTTCAGAACTCCAATCTTGGATTGGTTCTCAAAGTTTTTGCTTGGATTCTGTCCAGTCATATCAGTCAACCATAATCTAATCGATCAAGGCCGACGCTAACTATTAGGCGGCCTAGATGTTGCATTGACTCTTTTATTTAGTGAAAATAATTTCAACGATTTATAGAATCTCCAAAATCTAAAGGTAAAAGGCCGATCCTGTAATGGGTTATAGGTTGATTATTGTTTTTAGTCAATATTATCTTTTAATAACTAGTATCATCAACGAAAGTAAAAGTCAAATCCGAACTATAAAGGAAACAAATTATAAATCTGAATTCAGAAATAAAAAGAAATGATCTGACCTTTCCATCGATTACAAGCCAGCAATCCTTGATAGCTCTGTGCTTCGAAACTTCATCATATGCGTAAACTTTCGCCATTTCCCTCACAAGAAATTCACTGAACACAGATTTACCTTATTAAGTTGAAGAATCTATACAAAATTACTGACAAAAAAAATATTAAATACGGAATTAAAAGAATATACAAAAGTAAAAGCGGAATCGTAATCAAATTCTTACATTCAACGGATTCCAAAATTTGTCTTCTCTTCAATCGCCTTTCAGATAGAAATTTAGAGAGAGAACTGAGAGCCAGGAGTGTGGATTAAATAATATTTAAATGTCCAGATCTCAGGCGAATTAACATTTTGGCCCTCAAACTTTGACTGAAATTACAGACTATTGTGTATTTATCTCTTTCAAACTAGATTTATTGTACTATTTTGGTCAAAGAGACGATCGGATAGTATTAATGAATTTAGAACAGTGCTTCACTTACAGAAACCAAGGCTATGGACTCTGTCAGAATTCATTTTATTGTTTTAACATTTTTAAATAATAATAAATAGGATATGACTATTACATTCAATCCCTACGAATAACATTATTCCTCTAAATATGATCGATAAACTTTTTTTTTATGTCTCTTTTAGTCAAAAATATTCAACCTTATATATAGGGGCCGTTTGCAAGAGATTCTTCATGCCAACTTTATCTAAAAACTCTTCTAGTTTGACTTAGTATTTTCAGAAAATTATTCAAACAAATTCAAAAGTAAATTCTTAGTCTCATAAATAATTTTTGATTTCAAAAATCCAACCAAATGGATATAGTTCCTACGTATCGAATATAACCCTTGTTTGAACCCCATTATTTAGTAAAAATGAATTTTAGAATAGTAATTTTTTGAATGATGTGTAGTTGAAAAGTAGGAAAAATTTTAGGTTTTCGTGAAATATTAATTTATTAAGAGAATATATAGTTTAAAATGAGTTTGGAAAAAAATTTATTATTAAAAAATAGGGTTCAAACAAGGATATAGTGTAAAAGTGAACAATACCGTTTAAGGTTATGTTTGAGCTCCAATTTTTTCAGAAGAATAGATTTTACAATAGTTGAATAATGTGTGATTAAAAAGTAGAAAAAAAATTTGAATTTATGAGCAAAATTATTTTATCGAAAGAATGTACGATTGAGAACAAGTTAAAAGAAAAATGATTTTTTTTTTTTTTTTTATAATCGAGCTCAAACACGGTCTAAAAAATCTGAATTTGCAGCATTGATCTTTGTAAGAAAATGTTTTAACTTTATACCCATGTTTAATAGGGATTAAAATTTGGATTTTAATCTAAATTAAATTAAAAATTAATTTTAATTACATATTTTATGAGATATATAACTTTTTTACCACATATTTTATCAAGATTTATTGAAAATTTGATTTTAATCATTCAACAAACATGAGCTAAATTATGTGTCTAAGATATTAGTTTAGTATTCATTTTAGTGGGTACCCTCAACAAAGAAAGTAAAAAATCGAAATCGGTGACTTGCCAATTTAGACCGTAGTCTGGCCGCCCACAGAGAAATGGTCCACAGAAAATAGTAATTTTTTGAATGATGTGTAGTTGAAAAGTAGGAAAAATTTTAGGTTTTCGTGAAATATTAATTTATTAAGAGAATATGTGATTTAAAATGACTTGGAAAAAAATGTATTATTAAAAAATATGGTTCAAACAAGGATATAGTGTAAAAGTGAACAATACAGTTTAAGGTTATGTTTGAGCTCCATTTTTTTTCCGGAAGAACAGATTTTACAATGGTTGAATAATGTGTGATTAAAAAGTAGATGAATTTATGAGCAAAATTATTTTATCGAAAGAATGTACGATTGGGAATGAGTTAAAAGAAAAATGAATTTTTTTTTTATAATCGAGCTCAAACACTGTCTAAAAAATCTGAATTTGCAGCATTGATCTTTGTAAGAAAATGTTTTAACTTTATACCCATGTTTAATAGGGATTAAAATTTGGATTTTAATCTAAATTAAATAAAAAATTAATTTTAATCACATATTTTATGAGATATATAATTTTTTTACCACACATTTTATCAGAATTTATTGAAAATTTGTTTTTATTTCTTCAAAAAACATGAGCTAAATTATGTGTCTAAGATATTAGTATTCATTTTAAAGGGTTCCCTCAACAAAGAAAGTAAAAAATCGAAATCGATGACTTGCCAATTTAGACCGTAGTCTGGCCGCCCACAGAGAAATGGTCCACAGAGATGGGCTCCCAATTTTAATTCCAATACGGAAACTTTCTATATCAATTTTGATGTCTAATTTAAATAATAGTACACAAAAGTCATTTAACATATATTATTATAAGAAAAAAATCAATAATAATTGTTTCCTTTTTGAATTATACTGTTTCAAGTCAATTATTCTGCTTTGACTTATTATATTTTTTACTGTCGTTATAGTTTTGTAGCTTTCTAGTAGGTATGGAAACACATTATGGGCATGTTATGTCAAATTATATCTCTATTAATTAAGATTTTTTATTTATTTTTTATTTATTTTTATTTTTGGATTCTCCCTATCAAAAATACAAAATGTATGTTGTTGCAAATGATTGATCTTTCGAAGTTCTTGATAAATGTTCATATTGTATTGCTTTAATTCTAATAATTTTTAAGAACATAAAACTAGAAACTTAAGTAAGTTTCAATTACAAAGTCTCTCTACTTTCTCGTTTGATCTTTCGAAGTTCTTGATAAATGTTCATATCTTATTACTTTAATTCTATTAATTTTTAAGAATGTATAAATATAAAACTTAAGCGAGTTTCAATTGCAAAGCCTCTCTACATTCGCTTTTGAAATTTGTTATCACATCAAACTCGTGTAGTCGGAAGAATTTATAAAGAGGTTAGAAAACCTTTAGTCCAATATATGATATAGAAACAAAATTAGATTTCTTTCTAGACTATTTTTCTTTTATCTTTTAAAAATGTAATGAAATCCACAATTATACTTTTTGGAAAATTTCATATCTAAGAGATTAAATATGGCTTATTTCAAAACTAAGAAACAAGGTTAAAATTTCAAAAGTCAGATACTAATTAAATATGTTAAGGTCACAATTTTATACCATTTGATCACAAATTATCGAATTAATTGATCATAAATTATTTTTCGACCACGAATAAAAAATTTTACAGCCACAAATCAAAATTTTATAGGTCAGAATTTATTTATCGGTCACGAATAATAAATTTTATAAAGCACGACTCAAATTTTTAGGTCACCTATTTTTTTAGTCACAAGTTATTGGTCATATGTTATTTGTTAATCACAAAATATCCAATTTATTGATCACAACCAACCAAATAATTGGTCATAAACACCGTCACCCCCATGCCATCCCACCCACACAACCATCGCACCATCACCACCGTTACCGCCACCACCACCACCTTCCTAGCACCGCCAACATCACCACCACCTCACCACCGTAGCCAACGTGCAACCACCACAACCCAAACACCACTAAAAAACAGATAAAAAATTATCAGTCAGCACCACAGCTAACATCGCCACCACAAACACCTTAACGACATCTCCAACCAATCACACATGTACTGCACCTTAGTACTTGCAGCATCACCGCACACCCAACGATGCCTCACAACAACTAACACCGCCTGTACCAACCGCCACCATCTCCTTAAATCCATCATCTCCTCCACTGTCATCTTCACCTCCACCTCCACCACAACACAAAGTCCCCAAGCAAGCCACCATCACATGCACCTACAATACTCCTCAAAACTCCGACCACCACAAAATTATAAGAAAATAGAAATAAAGCCATACGACGGGAAGGCCTTTGATGAATGAGGAATGTAGAGGAAATTTTGACATGCCTCTGTTTTGAATGGCTAGAAGGCAGCAATAGCCTCGACTATCGTCTCCACCTCCACCTCCACCTCCATAACCTTCCTCACAATCAAGGGCGAATCCAAGGTCGAGTTCAGCTAGGACAAACCGCGAGCGTCGAAAGCTTACTATTGATGGCCAACGTCCGTGATAATGGGGTTGTTTATTAATATTTAATTAAATAATATTCAAAAAGTCGTACGGATAAGAACTAGATACACCACTAGAACTAGAACTAGGTACAAACTTTCATTTTGGATAAAAAAATTGTTTCATGATCTGCAAAATGCCCTAATTTATTTTCCAATTAAATAGGCAATATATATTAACAAAATACCAATATTCAGTTCACAATTAAAGTTAATTAAGCAAGGATTATTATATTAACAAAATTGAAATTATTTATATGCTTAAATCAATTTTATGTACTTATATGATTCCACTTTCTCGCAATCGATTTTTTGTGAACGAAAAATGAAATCTTTTATTAATTAAATAAGTTTTGTTGAAAGATTATTTATGACACTAAGGTCAATTTTTCTACAAATTCATCCACCATTAATTGATCAAACTCTCAAAATAATTGATTAGAGGGGAAAAAAGAAAAGAAAATCAAGAAGAGGGACAAAATACCAGTTAAAATGTTTCTACTTGCATTAAACCACTAAAATTGAACATATATTATTTTGTTTTCATAAAAATTGTTGAAATACAAAAATTATAAAAAATATTGCCCTTGAAGAATTTCGAACACAAGACCTCGAATTCAATAGTGGAAGGGCTAACCAGCTAAACTAACAAATATGTTTGTTATTAATAAAAATTATCAAACATGTAATCTAAAAATTCTATCTATTATTAGCCAAAAAAAAAAAAAATTCTCCCGACGCCGCCCCAGCTCGCTGACCCCTAAGTCCGCCTCTACTCACAATGTCCGCCACTACTCCATATCATTCATTTCATAGAAATCAAACTCAGAAAAAATAGATATGTTGCTAACGAATCAACAACGTGTAGCATGGAAGAGCACCATCGCCACGCATCGCTTTGTGGCGCACGAAGCAATAGTACCTATCATGAAGGAGTACCATTTGCTGCACTGTGAAGTTTCGTCTGAGTGGGTACGCTACGAAGGTGGAGTTGGAGGTGGAAATGAAGGTGGTCCTGAATAAATGAATTTGATTTTGTTGATAGGAGTCGATGTGGATGGAGATAGAGTGAAGGTGGTGGTAGATTAATTTAATATTAAAATAGCAAAATAAATGCCTTCTTAGGAATCTTATTGAATTGGGCCTTACAATCAGAATTTGGGCCCAATTTTTAAGAAAAGCTGTGAAAATGGAAGGATGAACAAACGTGAAAACTTTGATGGTAAAGCTATGATAGAATTTTGTGGTTGGATTAATTCTCCTGTATGTTTTCTGTACGATACCTCTACTATATATAAAATACAAGGGAATATTGCCTAACTAACTCTATACAACTTGCCATACAAAATGTATCCCTACAAAAACTAATTTAGCTAAAAAATAACAGAATGCCAGGTAGTTAATATATTCCTTAGGTTCTCTTCTATCTTCTAGAACTTTCGCTTCTCTTGCTTCCAAATAATTTGGGGCCCAACTTGTCATCTAGATGGGCTTGGGCTTGAACTCCATTTTTGCAAGGTAGAGAGTAGATATCTTCTACTCCTATCTTTAACAAATGAGATTAAAAGCTTGGTGAACTTAATGCCTTTGTTAGAAGATACGCAATTTGCAGTCCGCTATTGATATGTGCAGTGAGTATACTCCTATTCTGAATCTTATCTAGCACAAGATGACAATCAAGCTCAATATGTTTGGTTATCTCATGAACGACAGGGTTTGATGCTATATAGAGTGCAGGCTTATTATCATAGAACATAGTTGTTGGTTGCAGGTGTTTGATCTACAAATCAATAAACATATATCTCATCCAAGTTAGTTCACAACACAGATTTGCCATTGCTCGGTATTCTGCTTTTGCAGAAGATCTAGACACAACTCCCTGCCTTTTACATTTCCAAGACACCAAAGAAGATCTAATGAATACACAATAACCAGAAACAAATCTCCTTGTATCTTGGCATGATCCCCAATCTAAATCACAATATCCTGTTAATTGTAGGTTTGTTTGAGCAGGACAAAGTAAGCTCTGCCCTAGAGCCCTTTTGATGTACCTTAAGACCTTGTGAGATGCATTAAGATGAGGTAATCTGGGGCTATCCATAAATTGACTCAGCAACTGTAATTAGTAAGATAGGTCAGGCCTTGTTATGGTTAAATAAAGTAGCCTCCCAATCAATCTTCGATAAATCGATGGTTTGAAAAGAAGCTCACCTTTGTCTTTAGAAAGCTTGAGATTTTGATCAATTGGGACTCGAGTTGGTGTTGCACCAATTTTACCTGAATCTGCCAAAATATCAATTGCATATTTTCTTTGGCATATATGAATGCCTCGGTCAAACCTTTTCAATTCCAAGGAAGTATTTCAATTGTCCCAAGTCATTGATTTTGAACTTATCATGAATAGAAGCTTTGAGAGTATTATCGGAATCCATACAGCTGCTGGCCACTATAACATCATCAACATAAACCAGAATGGCAGTAAAAGAATGCTTTGTGGTCCTTGTGAATAAGCTATAATCTACTTTAGACTATGTGAAACCTTACTCAATAATAAAATTAGAAAGCTTAGAGTACCATTGTCTAAAGGCCTGTTTAAGGCTATATGAGCTCTTCTTTAACTTGCAAACTTTTGATGCATTGTCATTGAGAGAGCTTGAGGGTAATTGTATGTACACATCCCCCTCTAAATCTCCATGTAAAAAGGCATTGTTTACATCAAACTGGTACAAATGCTATCTCTCTATAGTTGCCATAGCTAAAATAGTCTCACAGTAACAAGTTTGTGATGAGGACATCCTTATAGTTGGACTTTTATTATTGTTTCAGTATTTTAGTTGGACTTTTATTATTGTTTCAGTTGGACTTTTATTTAAGTTTACGTATTTTAATTAGGACTTAAATAATGGGCTTGGCCCTATATTTCTAGGTTTTCATTATTTAAACCTATCTTGGTTTGTAATTTTTCAGTTGATGAATTTTGATTAAATAAAAGACTTGGCTTGCAGCCGTTTCTCTCCTCTTCCCCGCCTCTGCCCTTCTTCTTCTCTTCCCCTCCCCCATCCCTTCTTGTTAATTACTGATTTATTCATCTCCCTACATCAGTTTGTCACAAGGGAAAAGGTCTCATGGTAGTCAAGACCTTCCTGCTGTGTGTATTCCTTAGTCACTAACTTGGCTTTGTATCCCTCTATAGTTCCATCAGCAAAAAACTTAATCTTATAAACCCACTTACATCCTATGGCTTCTTTACTAGGAGGCATATTAGTGACAACCCAAGTATTATTTAATTCAAAAGAATTTATTTCAGCTTTCATTACATTAAACCACTGAAGAGAATCTGTTGCTTCATCAAAGTTTCTAGGCTCTTTGTGTGTGCTAATGGAAACAACAAAGATTTTGTGTTTTGAAGAGAGTTTATGGTGAGATAAAGTGGTCTCAAGGGGAAAGGGATTACCTGGAGTCATGACGACCTTCTGCTTGTCCAAACCATGTGAATGGGAAAGCAAAGCTGCCTATTAAGAAATATAGTCTTGAAGGTGGTGAGGAGGTCTTTTAATTCTACTAGACATTCGAGGTAAGGATTGGGTTTGAGTTGATTGAGTTATAGATTCTGAAAAATGTGTAGGTTCACATGACTCAACATTAGTATCTGGTGATGATGCAAGATGGTTGGATGTCTCTATAGATGATAAAGGTTCAATTTTCTCGATTCGTTCACAAGTCTCAGTAGAACTAATATCATTCGAATTGCTTGTACCGGATTTTGAAGTAGTGATAATGGGTGTTTGAACAAGATTTTGGATGCAGTCAACATTAACATCAGTAGTGTCAAGATCTTGTTTGTAAGTGAACACATTCTCGTGAAAGATTACATTCCTAGAGATGAAAACCTTCTTCATTTCTAAATCCATCAGTTTATATCCCAAAAGGGTATCCCAAAAAAATGCACTTCCTATCTCTAGAATCAAACTTATATCTCCCATTTGATAGAGTTGTGGCAAAAGTTAGACATCCAAAAATCTTAAGGTGATCATAGTTAGGTTTGGACTTAAAAAGGATTTCAAAGGGTGTTTTGTGGTTCAAGAGAGGAGTTGGATTTCTATTTATAACGTAATTCCTCGTTTTTGACATGCTACTCACGGGGAAAGTGTCATTTGTTGCTTTTCCAATAGAGAGGGGAACAACCAATCGAATGATCTTTAGTGCTCTCGCCTTGTGAGCACACAGTCACTCCAATATTTCAATGGAATTCCAATTTGAAATTTTAAAGCTTTTGCCACATTTGATATGTGTTGATGTTTCCTTTCGATTATAGCATTCTGTTGAGGGGTTTCTATACAAGTTCTTTGGTGAATGATGCCCATTTGCAAGTAAAATTGCTTCATATCAAATTCTCCTCCATTGTTTGATCTAATGATTTTGATTTTGGTTTCAAATTGAGTTTTAATCATTGAATAAAATCCTTGTAAAACACTACTAGCATCAGATTTTAACTTGAGCAAATACAACTATGTACATCTACTGAAATCATCTACAATACTCAAGAAATAACGAAATCCATCATAACTAATTTCATTACATGGTCCCCAAATATCACAATGTATAAGATCAAAACACTTTTTAGACTTATGTTGACTGGTAGGGAAAGGCGGTCTTTGTAGTTTGGCTAAGAGGCAAATAAGACATGGCTGTTTGGTATTTTTAGGGATGTGATATGGTAAATCAAATTTGGCATAGGTAAAATGTCCTAACCTATAGTGCTAGAGATCGAAATCTCCAGCATTATTCAAAACAGTAGAAGCTGTTATGAGATTTTTGCTAGCCAATTTTGTGGTTAATACTAGATATGGTACTTCCTTTTGTAGCAGATGATATAGACCTTGCTTTACTTCACCTATTCCAATCATTTTCCAAGTCAAAAGGTCATGTACGAAACACAAGTTAGAGAGAAAAATGAGAAACAATTAATGGTTTGTGCTAATTTTCTTGTTGATATGAGATTGAAGGAAAAAAAAGGGCACGCAAAGCACATTATCCAGAATTAAGGATGCTGAAAATTTCACTGTCCCTATGTGTGTGACTGGTACGACCTCATCATTTAGGAGTGCTACAGAATAAGAAACGTCTGCATTGATTGTGGTATATAATGAGGATGAAGTGATCATATGATCTATGGCCCCCGTGTATAATATCCAAGGAATAGTGGAGATATCAGTGACTTTTGTGTTATAAACTAAAAGGCATAGAGATATACCAAAAATTTTGGGCATGTTACCATAATTAGAGTGAGGTTGAGCAACAGTTTGGACGTTGTTTGAAGAGGAAATAAATGTCTGACGACTTAGTGGTTTGAGTATTGCCATAAGCTGAGCATATTGCTCCTGAGTTACAGATATTTGGGCCTTGTCACGTACCTACTCTTAGACAGAAGGCAGAAGGGCAGTAGTTTGATTAGCAAAAGAACTTGAGAGTTTATTTCTTCCATCTGATTTGTAGCTTGGTAGATCACTTGTCTATTGCGTGGCCAAGCATTTGGCAGTAAGAGCATGTTGGCTTTTTTGGATTAGCCTTGAAACACTTCTCTAGAGAATGTCCCACCATCTTGCAGCAAGTGCAGTAGTACTTATCCTTTCTTTGAGCAGACATGTTCTTTCCTCCATTCCTAAAGTTATCCCTTATCAAGAGTGCCATAGATTCATTGATAATTCCGTCAGAAAATAGCAGCCTTCTTTTCTCTTCTTGTTGTATAATAGAGTATCCTTCATTCAAACTAGGGAAAGACTTGATCAATAGAATCTGTGCCTTAAGTTCCTTGTATGAATCATTTAAACCCATTAGAAACTTCATAATCCAATCTCTCTGCTGGTTTTGCAACACAGTTTTTAAGCCTCCACAAGAACAGCTAGGTATTGCCTCATAATTTATTAACTCACCAAGAAATTCTTAAGTTTGGAGAAATAAACACTTACATCATCTTAATTCTGGACTAGAACTGTTATACCTTGCTGAATTTCACATATTCTTGGTGCATTCTGTTGTGCAAAGCCTTTTTCAAGCTCCAACCAAAGTTTACGAGCTGTTTCTGCATATGTAGTGCTGCATTTGATATCTAACATGAGTTACTAACACAGCACTACTTCCATCATTGCTATTAATGTAATAAGGGTTGCTTGGTAAAATAGAATTAGAAAGAGCTATCGATTTACCAGATGAATTTGCATTGGGATTGGATTTGGATTTGGATTTGGAAGAGAATTTGAATTAGGAATTTCGATATCTACCATTATGGCTCTGATACTGTATAAGAAAAGTTGTGAAAATAAAAGGATGAACAAACAGGAAAACTTTGAAGGTAGAGCTATACGAGAATTTTGTGGTTGGATTAATTATCGTGTATGTTCTCTATACGATACATCTACTCTACATAAAATAGAAGGAATATTACCTAGCTAACTCTATACAACTTGCGATATAAAATGTATTTCTGCAAAAACTACTTCAGCTAAAAAATAACAGATGACAGGTAGTCACTATATTCCTTAGGCTTTTCTTCCATCTTCCAGAATCTTTGCTTCTCTTGCTTCCAAAAAATTTGTGGCCCAAACTTGTTATCCAAGTGGGCTTGGGCTTGGGATTGAGCTTCATTTTCTAATACAATTAGATAAGCGAGATTGTAAGGTGCTCAACTTTGAAAAATCTAAAATTTTCATGAGTTTAAGTCCATTCGCTTCTATATTTAGAAGGTGGGGAACTATTTTTCCTATTTTTTAATGGAAAAGTAATTATGACTTGGTTGATTTAGATAAATATCATATTTTTAGTATATTTTAATAGTTTAAAATTTTTGAATCCAATGAAATGTTATCAAAATTAATTATTAACTTTGATTTATAATTTAATTCAACTTCTTTAGCTAAACTAAACTGGGGTTATATTAAAGAATTGCCAAAAACAATATATGCAAGAAAATGAGGAGTACAAGTACAACTTGTCCAAAAAATGACAACTGATGTGAATTGGCATCTTTTTGTCCGTTCCCTTCCCTTTCTTGTCATCTTTTTTCCTTATCTTTATTATTTTTTTCCCCTTCGTGACTGTATATATTTTCTGTTGGAAAATTATATATTTTGAGATAAACGTGAATCTTAAGATTTGTTAATTCTGTGACACATTGAGTTAATCACTACCCAGATATCTGTCTGTCACTTTCGGTGTTTTGTATTTTAATTAAGAAGTCAATGAAATAGTCCGAGCACTTTCAAATTCACTTAAAAGTACATTTCAACTTTTACTCTTTTTTATGCATTCAAAATTAATTAAACTGGAAAAGCTTGTAACTAACTTATTTTCAATTTCTACTAAAAAGTAAAAACACGAATATACAAACATATTATTAGTGTTCTAAAAGGCATGATGCGTGGTAAGCCAAGTTATGGGCTAAGTGAATTTAGACGAACCATAGGTGTAAAATAGCGTAAAAATAGGTCTTTTTATTTTAATTTTTAATCAATCGAAAAATTATTTAATAATTAAAGATAATACCTATCAAACATCTAAAGTAATTTATAGGAACTTTGTATATTTTTTTCAAAGTTTCCAAATGTAAATACTAAATAGTAAATATATAGGAATTTTTGGAAGTTTTTCTTTGTTTAAAGCTTCAAGCGACTGTTTTGACTATATGACAAATGAAGTGAAGAAACCAGTCTCTAAATTTTAAATTAAAGGAATTGTAAAAAAGAAAAAAAAATGCTAGTGTCGCATTAGCGGTCAACGGCTAAAAAAGACGCCAAGCCATTTGGCATGGCATTTCCATCGCGCATCGCGTCCATGCAGTGCCTTGACGTCGGTTAGACGTGCCTTTTATAACATTGCGTATGACACACAATGTAATGAAAACTTTATCTCATGTAGTAAATTCAAACTCCAATTTATTGCAAGTTACAACATTAAACTAGCAGTATACAAATACGGCTGTTCTATTCTTTCACTTACATTTAAGATTCCACGTCTCGAATCCCATCAACCCTCTTACCTTCCCCTACAACCTCAAATTAACACAAACCCTTTTAGTTTTAGAGGCCTTTCAGAGGAATAAAGCATGTAATCTGCTCTCCATCTGACTGACTGAAACATAAGCCATCAAATTCCTTTGTGTTTTCTCTTGAGATACACCTCAATTGGCAGCGCTTGTGGAAACTGGAACGATGTCACAAAAAAATTCTCACCTTAGGAGAACATCCAACTTCGGAGCCAACAACAACCAATACCTAGTCGTAGTGCTGCTGAAGTCTTCCTCGGGTTTTTCACCTTGGAGGATTCGGTATCCACTTTGGACTTGTATCATATCAACTTATCCTCATCACTGTGTCGATCGAGAGATTTATATAGAATAAGATCCGTATCAATTGATACAACTGAACCATTAAATCGATCTGCGTCCTACTGTCTCTTCTTAGTAATATTGAATGTGAGGGAATATAGCCTAAACTAGGGAACCCATGGAACCCACATATCCGTAGTTATGTTAAGTTTGAGTTTCATTTCATGGGAAAATTAATTTTGTAATAGTAATTTTTTTTTTTTTTTTTTTGGGAGAATATGCCAAAGATCCATGTATTTACTGTCAAAATATGAGCTGTATATTTACTTTCATTAGACATTTCATTTGTATAGGAAATTGCACATAATCAGGCTGCTTATTGCAAATAATCAGTCTGCATATCTTTCTTTCCATAGAGTCTGCCATTATGCTTGTATAAATAGGTGGCTGTACATTACAGAATTAATACAGAAAATCTAATTCTTTATCACTTTACATGGTATCAGAGCCTTGTGATTCTTTGTTTGTGCCATCTCCTTATTTTTTTTTTGGTCCACCATGTCTAACAATTCCAACAACCTTCGGTAATGTATTTTCTCCATATTTCTTACACTCCTCAAATCACCCAGGTCCCTGCTTGTCTCCACCTTACTGACTGTTGAAAATCATCATACATGGCGTCGCTCCATGAAGAAAGCCCTCAATGGTAAAAATAAACTTGGCTTTGTGGACGGTTTACTCACCAAACCAAACAGGTCCCCTGCCGAATCTCAACTGTGGGATAGGTGCAATGACAAGGTGTTCTCCTGGATCCTCAACAGCATTGACAAATCTCTCCACGACAGCTTGGTTTATTATGACAGCCCCCGTGATATTTGGATAGATCTTGAAGGGCGTTTTTCTCAAAGTAACAATCCTCATCTATTCCGTCACCAACGAGATCTCTCCACTCTCCAACAAGGTGGCTCCACCATTACTGAATACTATCACCGAATCAAGTCTCTTTGGGATGAACTCGAAGCCTTATCTCCTCCTCCATCATGTTCATGTGGTGCACTAAAGGACCTTAAAGCCTCACAATCTGTTGAACGTGTTTTCTAGTTTCTAACTGGTTTACATGACTCCTTTGCTGCTCTACGGACTCAAGTCTTACAATGGACCCATTTCCTTCTCTAGTGAAGGTTTACTCCATCTTTTACGAAGAAGAAACACAGCGCCTCATTCACATCTCTGGACCGCCTCTGAAAAAGTGTAGCTCTTGCTATATGTCCCTCTTTCTCATAGCAGCGTAACCCTTCCGGTCGTGGGCGCGGTCGTCCCAAATGCACTCATTGTGGTGAAGATGGCCATTGGAAGACAACTTGCTTCCGTATTATCGGTTATCCCACCGGTTGGTGTCGCCCTCGTCAAACCAATACTAACCAGTCCGCTCAGGCCAATGCTACTCCATCCTCCAATGATGTTTTGGCTCTTAGTCTCAATCCTGAACATGAGCAACAGTTTCAGTCAACAGTACCTTCTACTGCAAATTTTATGGGTTATTCCATTGCTCTCTCCACTCACCTGAATTCTATTACTCGTCGTTGGATCATTGACACAGGTGCCTCCGACCATATGTGTTCCTAACTCGATGCCTTCACCACAATTCATCCTATCACTCATCCACACTTAGTCACTCTCCCCAATGGTGACTTAGTAGCTGTCACCTGTGTTGGTTCAGTTTCTTTATCTTCACATATCACTCTCTATCATGTTCTTTATGTTCCTAACTTTCGTTACAATCTTTTATCTGTTTCACAACTTATCAATCGTCACAATGCCTTGCCCTTTTTTCCCTTCCTTTTGTGTTTTTCAAGACATCAAGATGAAGAAGCCGATTGGAGTAGGGAAAGTCTGTCATGGTCTCTATTTCTTTACTCCACCATCCAATTTAGCTTCCGTGTCTACTTCATCTGACCACTTATGGCACCAACGTCTAGGTCATCCATCTCTTAACACTCCTAATAAGTCCTTAAATATTTTTCATTCCGTACAGTTTTGTGATGTTTGTACTTGAGGCAAATTGTCGCGTTTAAAATTTCACTCTCCTATCAATAAAAGTACTTTTGCATTTAATCGCATATTTTGTGATATATGGGGAGGTTATCCCACTGCCACTTTATTTGGTGCACATTATTTCTTAACAATCGTCGATGACTATTCTCACTACACTTGGACATATTTAATGAAATTAAAATCAGATACCTACACATGCTTCTGCCATTTTTATGCTTATGTCCAAACTCAATTCAATTGTGTGATCTAGGGATGTAAACGAGCCGGGCCGAGCCGGCTCGCGAGCCTAAAATTTCGGCTCCGGCGCG